GCCTAGCTCACAGCAACCTCAAACTCCTGGGCTCAAGCAATCCTTCTACCTCAGCCTCCTGAGTAATTGGGACTACAGGCATGTGCCACCATGCCCGGCTAATTTTTTTCTATATATTTTTTAGTTGGCCAATCAATTTGTTTCTATTTATAGTAGAGACGAGGTCTCGCTCTTGCTGGTTTTGAACTCCCGACCTTGAGTGATCTACCCACCTCGGCCTCCCAGAGTGCTAGGTGGCTAGGCTTGAGCCACCACACCTGGCCAAAGTTTCTTTTGTCATTTAATTCTTGTTGAAATTTCCAATCTTGAGAATGGCACTCTTACATAAAACAAAGGCTTTGAATTATTAGGAAATAAATGATATAACTCAACGCTAACTAGCAGGTAACAAAAGATGAAAATATGTCTAACATAAAACATATTCCTCAAGTACACATGTAAACACAAATTTTTCTAGTAGACACATTGAAAATCTTTCCAAGCATGTATCAGAACTCATTTTTCAAACCAGTCATTTTTCTTGACAATGGGCGATATTAGTCTTCAAACTGTAGATGGAGCTCCAAACCACAGATTCATCTTAATGCTGCTGGTTTTACTACAGCCTTCTTCCCAAGGTACAGCTTCATCAGGTTCCAAATTGAACTGAACAGGGACATAATTTGAATGCATTGATAATGCATAAACCTAATGATCCCAGTGCAGTTGCTACATTTCCCTTTCTTTGAACCAGCTGATCCTACATCTTTTTCTTCCCAAGCACTACTTTTCAAATTCTATTTGTCATTTTATATTCCCAGCAGGTTCACAGCAAAAAGTTCACAATGTGAACAATTTGTCTTTGGTGCACCTTGCATTTCTGCCTTCAGAGCACACCATTCCTAGCATTGTTCAAGATAGGCTGTTGTAGTGTCTCTGGGCATGGAACTCACTTCCTCCCCACCCCCACCCCCACCTTGGGAATCTTGCTTATCTTTTAAAGAATTTTTTCCTTCTGATAAGTCTAAGCCTTCTCCTATGAAAGCCTTAAAAAAAACAAAAATTGAGGTTTATTTTTCATTATGGTAGAACCATGCCTTACATAGATCCATGAGCATGATAGATTTCTCAATAAACATTTCATTCTGTTAATGAAGGCATTTCACCTTGAAGCTTTATGCTTCCAGCTCTAACTACCTTGTAGAGAAAACTTGGTCCCAAAAGCATAACAATATTTCTTGAGTGTCATCTGGGGCTGTAAGCTGTTCTAGGCACTCAGGATAGAACTGTGAGCAAGTCAGAAAAAGATTTTGTCTTCTTGGAAATTATATTCTAGTGGGAAATGAAAGACAACAAACAACCTAAACCACATCAGACAGTTGTAAGGACTATGAAGAGAATTAAAATAGGACCACGTGATAGAGGGTGACTGGGTAGCTACTTAGAAGGAGTGCTCTTAAGTTCTCTTTGACAAGTTGACATGTAAACTGAGGCACGGATGACATGACAGAGCCAGCCAAGTGAAGAACAAGGTAAACACACCCCCCCAGGAAGAGGAAACAGCTGCACACAGGTCTTGAGTACAGCAGCAGAAGTTCAGATGATGTGGCAGAGAGTAGCAAGCAAGGAGGTGAGTGGGAGATGAGGTCAGACAGGCACAGGGCCCCAATCACTCTGGAATCCAGGGTAGAGTTTAGACTTTTATTCCAAATGCCATGGGAATTCATGGGAGGGGTTTAAGCCCAGGAGTGATGAAATATGATTTTTCTTTAAAAAAGATCATTAGTTGCTGTTGTAAGAATGCATTGTAGTAGGTAAGAATGGATGTCCTTCCTGAACTAGTGAGATTACCCCTCTAGGTATGCCATTTATCACAGGAGTAACAAGTAGACAAGTGAAATCTATGTATAATATTCCTTGTTGTTAGACAACATCCTCTTCCACCCCCCAGATAGCTCCTCTGGGCCTGCACACCTTTTCTTTCCTCCTTCCTTCCCTTCCTACCTCCCTGTTCGCTTCTAGCTAGGCAACAGTGAAGTGGCTACTCATCGGTACTATCATAGCCTTGAACTCAGAGGATCAACCAATCCTCCTGAGACAGCCTCATTGGTAGCTAGGAGTACAGGTGTTCTCCACCTGCCTTACTTCAGTTTGTGTTTGCTGTACCCCAATGCTACATATCAGATTAATGATTTCACCTTATAGAAGTCTTTTGCTGCTTCCCATGAATGAAGAGGTAGGAATGAGCATGCAGGAGTGCAGGAGACAGGACACTGGATCCTGCACAGGGCCAGAAAGAGGCTGCTATGTACAGGAAAAGTGGTCATGGCCAGGTGTGGGTACCAGGATGAAAGAGAACCTCAATTCCCACCAGGTGAGCTGTTGAAACCTATTTGCTAACCTCCAACCTTCGGGGTAAAGGTAGGTAGAATATTCTCCTCAGTTATACCAAGAAACTTTTGTTAGCCTTACAAAACTTGCATATACAAAAGTGTTCAGTTTTCGACTTTGCTGGTTAAGCAACAAATGAAGAATGTCAAAATTTCTTTTCCTTCTTTTGTGTTTCTATTTTTTAGTAGAGACAGGTTCTTGCTCTTGCTCAGACTGGTCTCAAACTCCTCACCTCAAGTGATCCTACAGTCTCAGCCTCTCAGAATGCTAGGATTTCAAGCATGAGTAGACCCTAGTACTGGCAGGCACATTAGTGCTTGTTGGGGAAAGGAGAGAGGGAATGATCCAGTAAGTGCCTTCAATCACAAGTCTGAAAAGTTGATGACTACACAGAATCACTCTAAGAGAAATATACACAAAAGAGTTTAGGATAAATGAGAGATCTGGAGGCTGGCTTAATGGAGGAAGTTAACAGCTGTGTTTGGGCTGTAAGCTTGACCTTGAAGTATAGTTCCTGTCATCAGACTAACAAACTCACAGGAAGGGCTCCCTAATAAATTTTGGGAAATTGTTCACGGAGAGTTAAACTTTTAAACCAAAGCATAAACTTCCAGAGTGATGATATACAAAGTGTCCTGAGACAGAATGACTAGCAGGCTTGCAGGACCTTTTGGAAAGACAGTGTCTGCATATTTATACATACACACATCTACAGACAGAACTGTTTGTATTTGATATGTATAACTGTCTTGTGCTGTCCTCAGGAGCAGGAAATGTGACATACACTCATTTTTTATACGTTTTATACGTGTTTTGACATCAAAAAATTAGTCTTATGTTTTATAAGCAATAAAGCCTATTCCCTGATATCTCAGACTACCAATTTTATACAGAAAGTAACACAAACAAGCTGAAAAATAAATTCAAAAGTTTTCCTACCCCCCATCTATAAATCCCGAAAGGTTTCGCGAAGTCTGCAGTTGTACTGGGATCCCTCCTTAAATGCAGGGTGTACGTGACTGTGATAGAGGGACTATCTGGCAGGAAACCCTATGCAAATCAAAATAATTTCAAAAACAAATGTTAGCTTGGTCATTAGTTACGCCTTCGCGTCGGTTCGTTTTCCTTTACCAAGATGGCTGCCGTAGATCGCTCTTCTCATTGGTCAGATTTTCTTCAGGTGACAATCTAGCCCCACCCACTACCTCCACACGCCAGGTCCGTGTTTTAGAGAGTATAATTGGCAGGCAAGCGGGAGTGGGCGGGGCGGACGGCGGATGTGACGTTTCCGGAAGTTCCGAGTGTCATCTGCGGGGAAAGGTGGGGAAGGGTCCCGGGAAGGGTCTCGGGAAGGTGCTGCGTAGGGACTTTGAGCGTAGTCGGACTATGAAGGGAAGCGGCCTCCGTGAGTGTGGGGCCTGCATCCTTCTCCCCCCGCGTACCCGGCCTGCCCGCCGCGCGCGTGTCCCTAATGGCTCAGCTCCCCACGGGCTGGCGCCTCACCAGCAAGGCCCGGAGCTTCCCTGCCTGCGGCATTTGAAAGACCCCAAAACCTTAGATACATTTCCCTGGGGTTCGCAACTTGGGCTTGAGTGCCTTCAAGAAGATTGCCTCAGCAGTTGTCTGTAGATCCCTCTCCACTGTCTACGCCCCCTCCGCTCATTCCTGCCACTTCCTTTGCCTCCTTGTGTTCCCCTCAGTGCTTTACTCCGCCCTTCCCCCTTATTTGCGGATGCTGCATCTCTTTGGAGTTTCCACACGCGGTAGAACCGGGCGCCGCTTACTGGCCTGTGGAAGGGGTTTTTTGCTTGACCTACAAGTACCTCTCCAAGAGATATGGAGATGCAGCGAACATCCTGCGTTTAGTTTTCCCGAGCTCTGGAAACGTTTACTAATTAGGCGGCTTGGGGAGGTTTTAGATTTGTTTGTGGCTTTCCGAATACCGAAAGAGGCTTCGTGAGAGCGGCAATGTTTCTGCATCCCTAGTAATCCCCACAGCTTTTGTGCCGTTTTGTTTTAGAGGGGACGCTTTGTGGAGGAAGTGTGACCCGAATATTGAAGAGATGGAAAAATAGAATTGGCCCAGAGAAGACTCTCTGAGGGAAGAGTTGTAGTAGAAAACAAAAGCGGTAGATAGACAAATGAAACGGGAATGTGAGGATTCCTGGGCAGATTGGAATCTTGACTGAAGCAAAAGATCTCTGTTGGGGAGGGATAAATGTATGAGATGGAAAAGATAAGGTGGCGCCAGTTGATAACAGGGCCTTGAATTCCAAGATGAATTCTACTTTAGCCTGTATGGTGTACTGGTTAGGTTAGGTTGTAATTCAATGTGTATCAAATACCCAGATTCCTTTTGGAGATGATGGAGAATGGTGACATGTCATTGGAATTTGGAATCTGTTTTTTTGTTTGTTTGTTTTGAGACTGAGTCTCCCTCTGTCACCCTGACTAGAGTGCAGTGGCAACATCATAGCTCACTGCGACCTCCAACTCCTGGGTTCAAGCAATCCTCCTGCTCCAGCCTTCCTAATAGCCCAAATGACAGGCATGTGCTACCACGTCCAGCTAATTTTTTTATTTTTTTGTAGAGATGGGGTCTGGCTCTTGCTCAGGCTGGTCTGGAATTCCTGGCCTCAAGCAGTCCTCCCACCTTGTACTCCCAAAGTGCTAGAATTACTGGTGGGAGCCACCACGCCCAGCCTGGAATCTGATTCTAACCGCAAGTGTTATCTGCAAAGATTGTGGAATTTCTGGAGTTGGGACCCACGGGAGGGAAAACTCCCAGGTTAGTTGGTTTATTTTTGCCTTCCAGATTACCATGGGCCCTTTTTTTATTCAAAAAGTGCTTAGTCTTTGAAGATGAATAAATTGTTGTTTTCAAGATCTAAATTCCTTGCCATGAGAATAATGAACATTGTTATAGACTAACTGGAATCATGGTGGTTTAGTAAGTTGAGTTATTGTTATAACCATTCATTCCCAGACTAGTTCTTCTAACTAACCTTATGCTCAAATATATATCACAGAAAATGTCATTTACTCTCAGATTAAATAAAAATGATTAAACTTGAAATCTGTTAACAATCTCTATGAAAGTTCACTGAGTGTGCTATGCCAGGTACTGGAGTGGATTTAAGTGTGTAGCTGGAAGGAGAAATAATGGAAAGTAATATAGACTGTAACTATTTTTATGGTGCTAGGGCAAGGCCACCTGATGACAGGGAATGATTCACTTGAAGGGTAGAACTGCATCCCTGTGGGCTCTGATTGTTATACTCCTTATACCGACCAATTAGGGCACAGAGATTGTGGGGGTTTTGAGCCTGCCAATCCTCTCATCGTGATTTGGAGTTCCTTCCTGTAGGAAAGAGACCTTATTTGATGTAAGACACAGCACATGGTATTTTCTCTTATTTTCCTCTTAAGGTAGAGATGTGTGAGATAAACACACTGTGCTAGACTGTGCTGGGATGATGGGGGCAATGGTGTTGATACCATCTGTTTTCTCTTTTCTGTCTCAGAACTTCTTGGTCCTGATGCCTGACCATGGAGATGTGAGCCTCCCACCCGAAGACCGGGTGAGGGCTCTCTCCCAGCTGGGTAGTGCAGTGGAGGTGAATGAAGACATTCCACCCCGTCGGTACTTCCGCTCTGGAGTTGAGATGATCCGAATGGCATCCATTTACTCTGAGGAAGGCAACATTGAACATGCCTTCATCCTTTATAACAAGTATATCACGTAAGACACCCACGGTTTCCTTTTTCTTTTCCGGTGACTGATGTCTCACTTATTCTGCTCAGAATTGCTAAAACTAGAGAACTTTACAGTATCATCAGCATTAATCATTTTTGCTGGCAACGCCTACATATTAGCAGTCCTTGCTATTCAAAGACATGAGTACCCAAGGTGTTATTTTCATGACTCAGTACTTTCATGAGTAAGAGATTTAGCTCTTTGGCCTATGCCCATATGGCCCAGCTGTTAGACAAAAGAGTTGTTGGTTAAATTAGATATGTATTGATGAATGCTTTTACTGTCCTCTTTCTATTAAGGCAGCCAATCATAGGATTATTGCTGAGGTCTAGCAGAGCCAAAATTCCTCACTCTACTTATTTTCTAGCAAATTGAGTGATATAGGAAAAAGTTTTTCTTCTTTTAACCTTTATTATAATCATGCAAATCGTCCAATTGCCCACACTTTGTGTGGCTCATTACAATAAGACCTTACCCTTGAGCTGCTTATCTTCCTAGGGTAGGCAGCAAAAATAGATTTCAGTACTGTTAACAGGGAGCAACTCCTAATGCCCATGACAATGAAATGATGTGTAATTTAGAAAGGCAATAATGTTAAAGGTCTTCTTTATCATTTCTAGTCTGGTTCTTTCATAATACCAAGACCTTTAAAACAAATTGGCTCTTCAGAATTCATACACTATTTCGCCTGTATAACATCAAGTGATCTTCACGGTTCCTTGTGTACTATGTACAACATATCATCCTTCCATTCTACGTATGAGGAAACAAGCTTAGGATTTAGTGATATGCTCAATTTTCCACAGCTTAGAGTAACAAAATTCAGTTTTCTAACTTCTAATTCAGGAGTCATTCTACAACATAGGTCCTGTTTTTTCTGTTTTCCATTTAGTAGTGTTCCGTGAGTTTAAGGTTGTCTTTCAAGATAATGGTGATGAGGCTCAATGACTATTTTGTGCTTTTTATTATTAGACAGGGTCTTGCTGTTGTCACCCAGGCTGGAGTTCAATGGTGTGATCATAGCTCACTGAGCTCAAGGCATCCTCCCACCTCTGCTTCCCCAGTAGCTGAGCCTACAGGCATGTGCCACCATGCCTGGCTAATTTTTAAATTTTTTTGGAGAGATAGGTTCTTGCTATGTTGCCCATGCTGATCTCGAATTCCTGGCCTCAAACTATCCTCCTGCCTCAACCTCCCAAAGTCCTGGGAGTACCAGAGTGAGCCACTGTACTTGGCCCTATTATTGTTTTTTTAATAGGTTACATATATATACATGGTACAGAATTCAGAGGCAAAAAAGAGTATGTATAATTAAAAAGTAGATCTCCCTACCCACTCCTCTTTTCCCCCAAATTCCCAGTTCCCCTCCCCAGAGACAATCACTCTTACTAGTTTCTTACCTGTCATGCCAGAGATGATATATGCATATCAGTATGTTACATTAAGTTTTGATCACATACTCCTCTAAATCAGTTTTCTCCACTTTGGCACTCTTGGCATTTTGGACTCAATACTTCTTTGTTGTGGGCTGTCCTATGTATTGTAGGATGTTTAGCCAGCAACCCTGGTTTGTCCTCCTTAGATGCAGTTGTAGCAACAAAATGTTCCCAGATATTACCTAATGTTCTCTGAAGGACTAAATCACCCCTGGATGAGAACCAGTGCTCTAAGGAAAAGAATGAGGAAAAGTAGACTGCCTAGGATTTATATTGTAATTTTAAAATGGAAGAATCAGACTGCTGTTGTCTTTTTTTGTTTTGTTTTTTCTTAATTAGAAGTCTTGCCTGTGTTAAAAGGGTAAAAACCCTAGACAAGTTAATTTAGTAGAGTTTAATTGAGCAGAAAATGGTCATGAACCAGGTAACACTCATGACCAAAGTGGTTCAGGATGCTGTGCCCCACAGCAGAGGCTGTGCAGGCTTATTTGTAGCCAGAGAAAAGGAAATGAGATACAAAAATAGCCTGATTGGTTACAATACCATGTTTGCCTTATTTAGTCATATTTTGGCAGTCTTCAGCCTCTGATTGGATGGAGGGTCAGCTGCTATGATTGGGTGAGACTCAGCTACTTGTAACCTGTTTATGTTAAGTTATATTTTGTTTCCACAGTAAGGTAGGTTATAGTTCACAGTATATAAGGAGACAGCTTTAGGCTAAACTTATTTTACCACCTGTTTCCTCAAAAATCGTGTACTTCACTAATGCCATCATGTAGTTTCATGTGCCCTCAACGTTGGTAAAGTTTTACAGAATTGTTATTACAGTTCTGCTTCTCTTTGTTGTTATGAGTTTTTTATTCCTAGGCACAAAATTTATTTTCCTGAAAAGTTACTTTGGCTACTGTCCTCTTTATATACTCTACTGCTGGTAGAAGTAATATTCTTGTATATTTCCAGTCATTTTGTAGATTGTCTGCTCGGAATAAAACCCATGGGCACAATTCCTTTGGAGAATCACTAATTGAGAAAGTTAAGTAGAATCATGGAAGCACTCTACCAGGTATTTTCTGAAGGGCCTTGCCCCACATGGAAAGTGCTTTCCGGGCAAGGACCATATTCATTCAGCAAATATATATTGAGTATACCTGCTGTCTACTTGGCACTGCACTAGGTACTGAATACACAGGCTGTATGAAAGGTGAATAAAATGGACTTTCCCTTGTATATCTTTCTAGGTATAGGAGAAGACAATAAACAGATTAACAAATAAATATGTACAGTCTGGGACTACAGGCATGCGCTACCATGCCTGGATAATTTTTTTCTATATATTTTTTAGTTGTCCTGCTAATTTCTTTCTATTTTTTTAGTAGAGACAGGTCTCTCTCTCTTGCTGAGGCTGGTCTCAAACTCCTGAGCTCAAATGGTCCGCCCACCTGGGCCCCCCAGAGTGCTAGGATTACAGGCATGAGCCACCTGCACCAGCCAAGGAGGATCACTTGAGCCCTGGAGTTTTAGGTTGTAGTGAGCTACAATGACACCACTGCACTCCAGCCCATGCAATAGAGCGAGTCTGTGTCTCAAAAAAAAGGGGGGAGTTTGCGTAGAGGAAGACTCAAGAGTTCAGGTTTGGGCTTTTTTTGAGATGTAACATTTGGTTGTTTTTTGGTTTGTTTGTTTTTGAGACAGAATCTTGCTTTGTTGCCTGGGCTAGAGTGTCATGGCGTCAGCCTAGCTTATAGCAACCTCACACTCCTGGGCTCAAGCGATCCTTCTGCCTCAGCCTCTCAAGTAACTGGGACTACAGGTGCGTGCCACCAAGCCCAGCTAATTTTTTTCTATATGTATTTTTAGCTGTCCAGATAATATCTTTCTATTTTTAGTAGAGACAGCTCTTGTTCAGGCTGGTCTCGAACTCCTGATCTCAAGCAATTCTCTGGCCTCAGCCTCCCAGAGCACTGGGTTTACAGGTGTGAGCCACTGCCCTGGCCCAACATGTAAAGTTTCAGATGCCTCTGAGATATCCAAGTAGAAATGTGAAGTAGGAGGTCAAATGTACGTACCAGCTGAAACTCAGAGCATTCTGAGCTGGAAATACAAATGAGGGAGTCATCAGTATGAGATTGTTCTGTAGCCATGGGAATCACAGAGATTTTCTCATGAAGAAGTTCTTAATCTGGGTTTAAGAAATCTTACAAGGAATCATTGATAGAATTCAAGGGATCCATGAACTTGGAAAAATTTTTATTGTTTTTACTAAGCACTGACTGAAATTTAGCATTTATATCACATTATAGTCATTGCTAACATCTCAAAATAGCATTTATACTTATAACTACTTCAGAATTACAGTACAGAGTTATTTATCCACAACTAGATCTTGTTGTTTAATAAAGAACATTATAAAGAAGTACATATCACAGTTTTTAAAAATATTTTGAAAATTGTATTTCTGTAAAATAGATTTCTTTTTAATCTTTTCTACTTTATATTATGCCTTGAAAAGTTATTCTGAGAAGGAGTTCCTCAACTTCACCAGATGCCAGAAGGATCCATGCACATAAAAGGGTCAAGAATCCCTGATAATGACACTATAGAATGAGAAGAGAAGGAGCCTAGAACAGAGACCTGAGGTTGGTTAGTGAAGGGAAATCCAACAGAAGATACTTCCAGGAAGGTTCGAGAGGTTGGAGGAAATCCAGGAAAGAGCAGTGTCATGTGAGCCAAAAGAGGTCAGTGTTTGAAGGAGAGTGGCCAACTGTATCAGATGGATGAGGTTAGAAAACCGTCCTTTGGGTTTGGTAACAGGATGTCACTGGTGATCTTGGTAAGCAATTTCCTAGAAGTGTAAAAAAGCCACTAGATTGGAAAGGGTGGAAAGGACAATAAGAAAGTGGAAGCAGGCAGACGCGGTGGCTCACGCCTGTAATCCTGACACTCTGGGAGACCAAGGCGGGAGGATTGCTCAAGGTCAGGAGTTCAGAACCAGCCTGAGTAAGGGTGAAGACCCTCCATCTCTTACTGAACAATAGAAAGAAATTAAATTTTTTGTTTGAAACCCACTAAAAATATATAAAATAAATTAGCCGGGCACGGGCACATCCCTGTACGCAGCTACTCGAGGCGAGGCAGAAGATCTTAGCCCAGGAATTTGAGGTGCTTGTGGCTAGCGAGCTATGGCAACTGACCTGAGCAAGAGAGTGAGCTCATGTCTAAAAGAGAGACGAGAGAGAGGAGAGAGAGAGAGAGAGGAGGAGGGAGGGAGGGAGGAGGGACGGAGGGAGGAGGAGGAAGAGAAAAATAAAGGAAGAAGAGAAGGGGGAAGGGAAGGGAAGAGGAAGAGGAAGAGAACAGAGGGAGGAAGGGAGTATAGACCTGACGTTGGCAATTCTTTTTTCTGTACAGGGCCAAATAATAAATACTTTTGGCTTTGTGAGCCATTTAATCTCTGTCACAACCTCTGCTTTGTAATGTGAAAGCATCATAAACAACACATTAATGAACAGATGTGGCTGCTTCCAATGAAACTTTATTGACAAAATCAGA